CAGTTAGAAATCAACCTGAGGTGAGTTCTCATGTTTTTATTTTTCATTGAAATAAGGTGATGTGCCAATGGTTGATGTTAATTTCAGATATATCTTTTGCATGTTTGAATTTGGGCTTCAGAACTGATAGAGTGAAAATTACAGGAACTATACTGCATTCTGTCAAACCATGGCAATAATTTGTTCATAATTTATAAAATCTTCAGAATTTTTAGTTTGGTTGAAGCTTGCAGCTTACTCAATGATTTTTTAATAAATTGGTTCATTCCATTATGCAGGAAGTTCAGCTTTTATTAAACTCTAAGGTAGACGTAAACGCCAAGAATTCGGCTGGTTTGACAGCCCTGGACATCATACAGCACCAAAGCTTGTTGGATAACATAAGAATAAGGACTATGCTATGTCGTGTTGGAGCTCAGGAAGGGGCTTCACTTCCTAATGTTGGCTTCACACACTACTTGAGGTTTATATTTTTTATATTTTTATCTAAGCACACACTATTTAAGGTTGAAGAAGTCAATTTGATGAAAAATTGGTGCTCTTAGTACTTCTAACATAGATACATAGCTTCATTAACATGCATCACTGCCTCAATAGTCAGTATGGACTTTGAATATCTGAGAGTAACTTTAGGTGATTTCTAATTTCTAGCTTTGGCATACTGTACTTCAAGATTTTCATTATTTGTTGGTTAAATAGTTGCTCTCAATTGAGAGCAGTATATAAGACTCTCTCAGCTGCCTACTTTTGTCACTTCTCAGAAAGGATCAGAGGCTGATGAAGGCTGCTCAAGAGGGAGATATTGATGGCTTCTATGCGTTGATACAGGAGGATTCGTGTATTTTAGAGCGCATCGATCAGGTTCCATTTGTTCATACTCCTTTGCACATAGCTGCATCTGCAGGGCATACCCACTTTGCCCTGGAGATGATGAGATTAAAGCCACAATTTACAAGGAAGCAAAACAAAGAAGGGTTCTCTGCATTGCACTTGGCTTTGAAACATGGGAAAACACAGACAGTGCTTTCTGTCTTGTCTGCCTATAGAGACATTGTCCGAGTCAAAGGAAGGGAGGGTAGGACTCTCTTGCACTGTGTAGCTGAAATCGGAAACTTGGATCTTCTGGCTGAATTTCTAGCAGCTTGCCCAGAATCTATCATTGATCTGACGAATCAGAAGGAAACTGCACTGCATATTGCTGCAAAGAATGACAAGGCCGGAGCACTCGAAGTCTTGCTGGGATGGATTCAGCATGTTGATATGGATGAGGTCTTGCAGTGGACTGATGTTGAAGGCAACACTGTATTGCACATTGCAACAGCAAGAAATCAATTCCAGGCAAGCTTTTGTCCCCTCACTCCCTAACTGTGATAGAGTAATATTTTGCTTCAGGTTAGTAGATGTCCCAAATTTACTCAACCTGTAAGCAAACATATATGTGATTGATTTTTCAGTTTTTTTCCCTTTGCTCTTTCATTTGTTTCTTGCTTGTCGTCTAATTTTTTTATTACCAACACAAAACACAACTTTTAGAGCGTTTTTAAAGAAATTCTTTTGTCTCATAAGCTTCATATTACAGAGATAGTAGGATAGTAGCCTTAGAAGTTAGTTTCTACTAATAAGCTTCAAAAATATGGTAGAGCTGATTACAAACTTAAAATAGTAAGCATTTAGCTCTTTTACATAGATGAAAGAACCAAATTGCAGAAGACATTTATTTAAGTGATACTCTAACCGGTATCTTAGACCCTTTCTGGTATGATTTTCCTGAAGAATATGTTTTCATTTTTGAAAACAAATACTATTTTGCAAGAAGTTAATTATAGATTTTTGCATGCTAATATTATGCAGGTGGTGAGGTTGTTAATAAAAAGGGTTGACCTAAATGTCAAGAATTTGGAGGGTTTAACAGCTCTGGACATCTCGTTGGTCGTTAACAATACAGAGATGATAAATTTATTATGCCGAAATGGAGCTTTGGGAGCTTCCTCACTTCCTAGAGTATCTTCTCTTGCAGACTCTTTGAGGAAAGAGATGTCACTGACCGAAAAATGGATACTACAAAATCACCTCTCAAAATGTTGCATGCCAAATGAAAAGCGCAACGCTCTACTAGTGGTAGCTGTGCTGATTGCAACAGCCACATTCCAAGCTGTGCTCAATCCCCCTGCTGGTATCCAGAAAGGTTACTCTGAAACTCCTCATGATTTTAAAAGGAACTCCGCAGCCACGAACAGTAGCGCTGAAGAAAATGTAGTATCAAACTTTGCATTTCACTCCGCTGCAGCATGCGTTTCTTTCTTGGCTTTTAACACCATGGCCTTTTTGACATCTATTTCTGAGATATGGTTTCACCTCCCACAAGGCCTTTATTTCTTGATAAAACTGGGTTTACCTCTATTGTTCTGCTATATGCTTTCGTTGAGTCTCACAGCACCAGTATCAAGTGTGACACCGTTTTACGTGGTTTTGTTATTTTTATCTCAACTGAAAGCAATAGCTAGGGTCATGTTTTTTAGGAGGTCATTGGAACTAAAGCTCTCCCTGTTGAAACATTGTCCCAGTTTACATAGAGAAATGAAATCATGACCTCTGTTTATGTGGGAATTTCAGTGCAATGCTGCATATAACTGAACTTGTGGATGTACACGAAAAGGATATACTTGAGACGTGGAATACCATAAATCCTGCCATGTAGAAATAAGCAGAAATATTGTTGAATTCCTCAATCTGTATTGCATATATTTATAAGACTTTGTACAAGTCGAGATACAAGAGTTTGGAGTCAATACCAAAAGCTTCCCCATAGCCAGGCAGTCTGGAGGTCACCTATGACCTTGAATTAATGCAAAAGTACATAATAAATACTTTTAAACGTTTGAGTTATAAGTCCCTTGCGAATCGAATGAACATAGAACTTCTATCAAAATGAATTGGAGCTCGTGGAGTTTTAAACATAGGTCTTCTATCAAAATGAATTGGAGTTCATGGATTGGGGTCAAATTCACTAAATTATTTATTTCTAAAACAACTGTATCTGAAAGATTTTTGAGGAGCTGCTAATTCTGGCTGAGAGCAAGAGAGATGCATAATGGGAGGGCCACATAATCTTGGATTCCCTTCAAAGCTGGAGATGGTAAAATTATCAAACTGGCCTCTAGATGGTACAAGGCCCTGAAGGTCATTGTATGCCACACTGAAAGAGCAGAGGAAATGTAAACTCAACCAGGGATTTGACCAGACTGTGAGAGAGAGTTAATCTCTCTAAGTTGGTGAGGTTAGAAATCTGATTAGGGATGTTGCCAGAGAAGTTGTTAGAGCTTCAAGTCAAAGGACCTGGAATTAGCTATTTCTATGTAATGGAGCAAAGAAAATTTCTATAACTTGTCCTATACAAAAAGGGCAAAACGGTTGATTCATGCAATAATTTTGAAAATTCAAGGAAATCTCGGGACGGTTTGTTACATAAAACCATGGTCAAAGAAAATTTATGAAATGTTTACGTTTTTCTTGTTCGCATATTCTTCAACGATTCAAAAATAGCCTTTATTTATTTATTTATTTTTGGTTCGTTTTTAAGTTTGGAAAAACAAATTTTCATAATTTGTGAATTTTTGTTGATACTTTTATGAATTGGGTAAATATTGCAGGAGATTGCAAACTTGAGTGTAGAGCCCTTATAGTAATGTTTAAAATTAAAAAATCAAAAGTATAAAATTAGTGTCATGTGTGTTTCAGTGCCTATTAAAATATTGAATCTTTGAGAAGTAGCTAGAAGGAAACTAATTAGGGGCTCATTTGGGAGTTATTCAGAATACCAAAAGGTACTTTTGTGAAGAATTACTTCTCATGGTAGATACTTCTCCAAAAAACACTTCTATGACCCAGAAACAGTTCTAAACTTTTCTGTCAAACGCCATCAGAAGTGCTTTCGATTGCCAAACACCCTAAAGTGATTATATGTAGAAGCATCTACATAAGTGATTATGATTTATCTAGAATTACTCATAAACGAGTTTATCTGAAAACGAATTTCCAAGGCTCATCTTTATTAGCCAAATATATACATTCTAAGCCCAAACCAAGATAAGGCCCAACTTTACCTCCACTAATCTCATACTCTATTTAGTTTTTCTAAAGTGTTGGTGCTTATAAACCATGAAATGAAACAAGTCCCTTCTAATGTGGGACTAAGTGAAAGTGTATTTTCCTATACAAACTCTAACATAAGTCTCACAATAACAATATCAAGCGTGACACCATTTTACTTTACTTGCTTAATTTTATTATTTTTATCTCATCTGAAGGCGATTGTGAGGGTCATATGTATTTCTTAAGAGGTCATTGGAACTTAAGAGTGGAAACTCGTGTACCTGGTAACATTCCAGACTTATGTTGTCAGACAATATATATTATCAAATTGTGAATCTAGACTTTGCATTCGCAAAACGATCAACATGATATATGGCAATATAATGCATCTTCTAACCACAAGGTGTGGTGCAGTTGACAAACTGCCACCTCCAGCTGGAGAGCTACATGGTGCCTCAATGGGTTGGAAGCACTTTGTGGCTAGGGGCAAGCCGAACCTCAAGCGGGGATTAATCCCACCCTTCGAGTGTGGGGACATCTCGTGGTATTTTCCAAAACTATAATGCATCTTTTTTTGATGTGTGGTCTGGCTAGAGAACTTTTTTTTTTTTTCCTATAATAGTACGTACAAACAATTAAAGGACTATATAAGGTCTTATGAAACTAGTTTAATTAAGTTTGCAGACTTTCAAGCAAGAATCCATGTGCTTTCAAGGAATATTTATACCTAAATGGCATCCTTAAAAGAAATTAAAGTCAACTTGTAACATCATTTGTCCATGGACTAACCTTTAAAATTTGCATCTCGACCTAATTCCAGTTAACCCCACTCAACACGCTTTGTAATTAATTAAATCGTTCAAAGTTACTCAACTTGGGCACTCACACTCACTATATAATTATCATAAGGGCCATAGTTGTGATCAAGGGATAAGAACTAAGTTCCAAACAAGAGACAGTTTTTATATAATCAATGGCTGGTCTCTCTTCCTTCGTCCGCTTTCTCATTCTGCTTATGTTCATTGCATCCATCTTGCTCATGCATCCATCTCAGATTCATGCAGGTTCGGTTCGCGATTCAGAAACAGTTTTCGAAATTTAGAATTCCCTTTGAGAATTTGAGTTGTACCCATAATTTTTTTTCTTTCTCATTTCCTTTAATTTGTACTTTTATTTAGCAATTGTGGATCAGGAATACATTATGTTATGTGTTTTATATTTGGCTACAGATTTGAAGGTGAGCAAATTTGGCCGGAAAACCAGACCAAGCCCACCCCCTCCTCCAGCAGGTAACTTTCGGAAGCAACAAAGCCCACCACCTCCTCCAATGGGTGCACCTCTAATCTAAGACCTGCAGTCTGATCGATTTTTCAACCACCTTCCTACTTTCAATGAATCTTTTTTTAAAGGAAATTAAGCCCTTAAGGTAGGCATCTCCTTTAAATATTTGTCCAATTAAACCCTCTGCAAAAATCAGCAAATAGTTTTTCAGTTGTGTGATTTGTATTTTGGCCAGATTGCTAAAAGTGTTTGGGGTTTTAGGATTCTCTGCAATTTGGGTTCATCTATTCTATAGTAATTGGTTATAACTTGTATTTTAAGTATTGACCCTGTGGCTACTTTACTGTCTGGGAAACTCACACACGGGGTATCATGGGATTTGAAACCAAGAACACTTGGAGCATACCAGAGACCTGTGCCAATCCAACTAACACCTCATTGATTGTCCTTTCCTCTACATCATCTATTAGAAAAATAGTCTGTTCTGCAAAAGGAGTACACCAGACCACTTGTATAGGCAGTAGATGATTAACTGCCTAATAACTTCTCTAAAATTTGCAACTAACATGTCAAAACCAACAGCTATAATCTGAATGAGAGATACGCAGTAGTTTTCACCAACAGCCAAAATAGGGTAGAAATGTAAAAAGGGATTTCAACAACTATAAATTTGAAATTAAAGATTTGCCACTTGTTTGACAAACCAAAAAAAAAAAAAAGTGTGCCATTTCACAGTGATATAATTCAATGACCAAACAATTTCTGATTTGGAGTGAATTCCTCAATCTGTGTCAGTTCCTCTTGCATATATTTATAAGACAAGGGATATAAGTCTTAGTGTTGGTACATCATCAGTTCTTGCATATATTTATAACACAAGGGATATAAGAGTCTTAGTGATGGTGCATGGTGCATCTTCAGCCGTACAAGAAGGGATATAAGAGTCTTAGTGGTGCTAGATCGGTTACAAGATGATTAAAGTACATTAGATAACAAACCAAAACATATGTTTTTATCTCATTACAAAATTACGATATATTTATAATAATCAATTAATTTATGTGTCTAAATCTAAAATAATAAAGGGAATTAACGATTCATTGGCGGCGAGGCTAATTTGGATTGGCGTACAATTTAAGAAAAAAACCAAATTAAGGGAACCTAATTTGGATTGGAGTACAATTTAAGAAAAAAACCGAATTAAGGGAACCGCCACAACTAACCCAAGACGACTCAACGACACACCAATAGAAAATGTAGGAATGACCATTGTCTTCAGCATATTTTAATTTCCTCAAATATCTCAAAGATTTGATCGGAAAGGAGTAAACATTGAAGTGAACATATTCATCTCAGACACTTGGTTTAAAAGCACATTAGAAATGTACATATATATATATATATATGTGCGTACATATAAGCACAGAGTACGAGCTTTTTGCATAAAGTGGTGAACAAGAAGTTCGTGAATACAAGTGCAAAAGTCGTGACTTTAAGTCACCAATTTCACCCTTAATTTGTTCACTTTTTGGGGCCACAATTGGGTTCTTCCTTTCCCTCTTTCAAACTCATTCCGAAGGATCAACAGAGCAGAATTGCTTGGGACCTTTAGAGTCAGCACTGTCACCTCCAATGGAACTTGAACCATTTACTTCAAGGCTGTCCATTCACGCAAGCCACTTGGATGCAAATTGAGGGGATTTGCCCTAACCCGCTAAACCAGGTGGAGCCTATACAGGTACACTTGTAATTACATAGCTGGAAGGTTTTGATCAATAAAAGAAAAATGTCGAAACTTTCAGACCAAAGACACTACAAACTTTATTATGGCCAAGGAGAAAAAGTAAAGCTATACCTTGATTCAATTTTTCAAAGAAGGTTTTCAAAGACAAAAAGAACCCAACCCCAATACAGAAGAAGGGCTAGAAAAGACCCACTTACTATGATCAAATTCTGGCCCCGAAGTCTCAATACTAAAAAGTTAACAACCCTCTAAGTCCCTCCATCTTAGGTACACCAGCCCAGCGCGATAGTGTGTGTAAGCTGCCGCCACAACCAAGATATGGAAAAGCTGGTGACTCTGGCCAGCAATATCAAACTTCCCTGGTCTCCACCGCTCTGGTATCCTTGTAGCATAAATCAAGGCCCCCAGTCCATAAAGAACCCCCATTAGCACTTCAAGGCCGGTTGTCTGAAGGGCTTCTGGTTGATTCCTGAACACTATGAGTTTATGAACTAAAGGAACGACACCAGACACGCCCATCCCAAAATAGAGAGAAGCACGAAAACTACGGAACTTGGGTCCTTGAAAAAGTGGGAGGAGGGAGAAAACAATGGTGGCGATGCCTAGTATTGTTATGAAGCCCAAGTAGAGGTTGCAAAAGAAGGGGTTGCACATGAAGGAGTAGTAAACAGGAGGGTAAAATGAGGTTGTGATGAGTGCAGCGATGCCTGCATAGTCACATCTAAGCACTATGTAGGAAAGGCGAGCTGAATGGCAAGCAAGGAGGTGGCATGTGCTGCTGGCTAGCAAGCAGAACATGGCTCCACCTAGGAAGACAAAGAAGGGCCACCTTGTAATAGGTCGATACATAAGGGGGGCCACCATGTTCATCACATCATCTGTAACTCCATGCTGCAGTTATGAAACAAATTACAAAGGAATCAGGCTGTGAATATGGAAACAAAAGGATGACTTCAAATTAAATAGTATGTTCCCATAAGTATATAGAACGGGTTTTATAGAGAAACTTAATAGAAAATAATGTGTATAAGGTAGATTGGTAAAATATTCATGAATAAAAGGAAGATAAAACGTGGTGAAAGAATTTTGAAAAGCACCGGATGGCAGTTTTGCATGATATTACAGCATACAAGCAGAGTTGCATTTCATTATCAAGGATGCAAGACAATACCAGAACAGAATTCTCTGTTTGATAGGCATGGGAGAACCGCTTGGGCACGCATTTGGCGAGAAGTTCCCTTATATTCCCTGAAACTGAGGAGATGAAATCCATAGAGGGCAAAGATGGCTTCAATTCATCTTTTAATCTATAAATATCAGACAGGTTGGGTAGCGAAGGGAGGCAATTCACCAGTTCTGGATGAATTTTGTAAAACTCAGCTTTTCTAATCATGTCAGGCAAACGTTGGAAGGAAGAAAGATCCATGATGTCTGGAGCTTTTGTTGCTGTGTATATGGTTAGGAAAAGGAAAAGGAAGAACCCGATCAAATGCCTACAAAAAAGGGATTTCTCAGCAATCAATGTTATTTTTATGAGAGGCACAGCTTCAAATATAATGTCAATCATGTATCACAGCGCAAGTATTGACCGCGCGCATAGATGTATAATAAATAAGAACGAGAGAAAATAAAAACATAATAAGCATTGGATTATAAAAACGTAATGTGTTTTTGAGCTAAAGTACTTACGTCCACACATTGAGAGTCTCATTATGAATGGAGAAGATGCTTAGAAACACCTGCTTCAATGGCCATTCTGATCGGTAATAACCCAGAATGAACTCGTTGTCCCTTAAAAAGCTAGGCAATGCATGGTATTCAATAAGCTGATATTTCACTTTCTTCCATATCCTCGTTCCCTTCCCTTCCTTTGAAGACACTTTGTTTCCATTTTCGCAGTCAAATTGATTATTTAATGCTCTCATCTCTACAACCCAGAAACAAGAAGCATTGAGGAGCATCCTCATACTAAAAACAAGACTACAAACTAATGTCTCATGAAAATTTGAGGAAAGACATCATAAGCTAATACAATAGGCATTGAAGGACAAAAACATTTCTTTGAGAAACAGAGTTATACAAGGGAACATGCATCACATTCACATAATCTGAGCAAATACCAGAGGGGTTCATTTCATCATTCCATATTCTTGTCTTGCTTATATCATTTCGGAATTCGCTCTAATATCGGCATATGATTAAATGTTGCCTATATACCTTTTATATTACACAAAATTATCCAGACTAAGGTTTCAAAGACATCACAAATTTATTAACAAAACAGAACAATTCTCAACACATTGAGAGCTTTCCCAAGAAAATATATGCAAAGTAGTTGATCCAGGCCACAATGTAATCGATGTTTCATATACCATGATTAAGACCAACAGATTATTAAATAACACAAAATTCGACGATAAAACATAAGATTTAGAAGACAGATGAGAAAACCACCTGATATTGGAGAATCACCGCCCATGATCAAAACCCAAATGAGTTTTTTTTTTTTTTTTTTTAATTACTATTTGGGTTTCTTTTATGGAAACTACCAAAGAAAAGCGTCGATAGAAACAATGGCAGGTCTAGATACTCTTTTTTTGTTTTTTGTTTTCTCGGAAAAACTATCTTTCCTGGGAAAAAATATTCCAGGGAAAGAAAATTCCCCGAGAAAAGTAGAAAATTCAGCAGAAAACAGTGTGGTGAGAAAGGGAAAGACAAGTAGCGCTCGGTGGGATGAATTTTCGGTGCTGTCGTTAAATACCAGGGAGCGTTGAAACGACATCACATATAGGTAACTCTTTGATTTTAAAATTAAAAAATAAAGTAAAATAATAATTAAATAACATTTTATACAAAAAAACTCTCTCATTCTCTCTCCTCCCCTTCCCGACGAGACCCACTCTCTCACTCTCACTCAACCTCCTCTCCCCAAACCAAATCTGCAGCCAAGTTCTTCGCGAGCTCTCGCTCTCTCAGTCACTCCCGCTCTCTCTCAGTCTCTCCCTCTCTCGATTTTTCTCTCTTTGAGGTATTATCTCTAAACCCTAATTTTCTGTCTGTTGTGATTTTGTCTGACTCTTGTGATTTTTGTTTTTCTGACAGGATTGATTTTGAAGGCTAAGTAAAGGATTGGCTTGCTGGTTGTGTTTCTTTTCTGGTAATTTTCTGTATTTTTTGGTTGTTTATGGTTGCTGCTTTATTTGTAAGGAGAATATTATACTCCATAATAATGTGCTGGGCGTGATTCAACTCATATACAGTTGAATGCATAAATTATATGATTCAACTTTATTTGTAACGAGAATATTACTCCAAAAACTTGACGAATAGTTGAATGAATAAATTATCACTCATATACAGTTACAGAAGAAGGAACACCTCACAGTTCTGTTGTAGATTCTTGTTTTCAGTACAGTTTTCTAATTGCATCATAGTCTTGCTGTCTAATGCTAGCTTAATGTGCCTGTTGAGTATCAAATCATTGTCAATGATGATTTTAAATTAAAGATCTGTCTTGCAAATGTTAATTTGGCGATTGGATCTCTTGTTTGGGTGGAGGATCCTGAGGTAGTTTGGACGGATGGAGAAGTTGTAGGAGTTAATGATGAAGAGATTGAAATAAACTGTACATCCGGGAAGACGGTCATCGCTGCTTTTGTTTTTAAAGTTCTTATTAAGCCTTGCATATTAGGAGAATGCTTTAATAACATAGTATACCCACAAAAAATTAATAAGGTTCTTTATTTACTAAGGATAGCTGTGTTCCTAATGATTACTATGGTTTTAGGTTTTTGAGCATTCCACTACATTGGTTTCGGAGTTGGAATGGGGGTCGTAGAGGCATTGCAAAATTTGGAGTCTTCGAGAACAATCGCTTCACTTAATGGTAGTCATTCTGATGTAATATTGGGACGATTGCCCATGGAAAATGGAGAGTGCTCTTTCCATTCCCAGTCACCTAAGTTAAAGAGGCGCATAATCTCTGCTGTTCGTGATTTCCCCCCGGGATGTGGACGATTTGCTCAGATAAACAATTTGAGACCTGATAAGGAGGCGACTTCTGTGGTTGAGAGTGTACCAACAGAAAGTTTGATTCATGGGGATAAAAATGGCGATGGACATGGGGTTGATAAGATGATGCTCTCAAATGGTCACGAAGATGAGACTGACTTGAATCGCAAGGACATCAATACTGTGGAGACAATTGAATCAGTAACAGCCTTAGAGCATGAAATATCTGATTCTCCGAAGAATCTACATCAGTTAAACAATTTGAGATCTGTTGAAGAGGCCGCTTCTGTTGGTACTGCCGAGGCTTTGATTAGCAGGGGTAAGAATGGTGATGGACAAGGGATTGAAAAGCTGATGGTCTCTACTGGTCAGGTGGATGAGACTGTCTTGATGAATGGTAAGGCTCCTGGTACTGTGGACGCAGTTGAATCTTTAACAACCTTAGAGCATGAAGTATCTGATTTGTTGAAGAACCCAAATCAGCTTGGTGTGGCTAGTCCAAATGAAGATATGGTTGCTGTTCCACCAGATATAAATGTTTGTTCACCATTTGTTTCTAATGGCAATGGTGTGGACAAGATTGCAGTTAAAAAATATCCTCCTCGAAGAAGAGTATCAGCTGTTCGGGACTTCCCTCTTCTCTGTGGAAGAAATGTTTCTCTGGAAGAAAGGAATTTTGGTCAAGAGAGGTCGGCTGTAGGTGACAAACCATCATCATCTAACACACCGAAAACTAGTGTGAAACAAATAGGAGAGGATGTTCGGGATGACAAGTTTCACAAGAGCGATTTGGAAGTGAATGTTTCTAAAGTAATTGGGGAGGTTCAACCCAACTGTAAGGAGAATACTGTTCAAGAAATGGAGAAACAAGATGAATGTAAGGTAAATTCTAAGATGAATGTGGTTTCGAAAGATACAAAGAAAAAGTGCATTGAACCTTCTCAAGAAAGCAATGGATGTCAAGGTGTGGGGGATGTTGGATATTCGGAGGAGAAAGTGGGGAAGGAGATGGTAGTATACCATGAGAAGGAAATTCCAGGCGAGAAATGTTTAGATGAATGTGAGGTAAATTCTAAGATGAAGTTGGTTCCAAAAGATACAAGAAAAGAGTGTATTGAACCTTCTCAAGAAAACAATAGATGTCAAGGCCCGGGGGATGTTGGACATTCAGAGGAGCTAGTGGGGAAGGAAATTGTGGTATACCATGCGAAGGAAAGTCCAAGTGAAAAATGTTTAGATATATCTAATTTTCATAACCAATTGCATGAAGAAGATTTTGAAAGTTCAGAACTTACATCGGATAGGGTGATGGTGATGGGTTTGATGGCTGCCTCAAATTGTCCGTGGAGGAAGGGAAAAGAGGTCTGCAAGCATAAAACAGAAGGTGGTATGAGTAGAAGCAAACGAAAGAAACCTGATTTTAAATGTCAGCTAGAAAGATCTAAAACTGCGTCCAGGAAAAAAGTTGACTCGGACATTGGAGGAAAGTCTAAAAAGAAGGTTCATCCTGTAGCACGAAAGAATGCTTACCAAGGCTCAAATCAACTTGTTATATGGGATACAGAGAATTCTCTTGAGAATGACCAGAAGGAAGACCTTCATAAGACTCCAAGATCATGTTGTTCTGATGTATGCCCTCCTCCTTTTGGTCTTAGTAGTTCAACTAGCAAAGTTCATGATAATGACCAAACTGTCACCCGAAACAAGGTGAGGGAGACATTGCGTCTGTTCCAAGCTCTTTGTAGGAAGTTCTTGCAGGAGGAAGAAGGTAAGTCAAAGGAAGGAGGAAGTTCTCGCAGGAGGATTGATTATGCAGCGGCAAAGATTCTGAAGGATAAAGGAAAATATGTAAATATAGGGAAACAAATCTTGGGGCCTGTCCCGGGTGTTGAAGTTGGTGATGAGTTTCATTACAGAGTGGAACTTACTATAGTTGGCCTTCATCGCCAGAGTCAAGGTGGTATAGACTATGTGAAGCATGGTGGCAAGGTCCTTGCAACTAGTATAGTTGCATCAGGTGGTTATGCTGATGATTTGGATAATTCAGATTCCTTGATTTATACGGGCCAAGGAGGAAATGTGATGAATACTGATAAGGAACCTGAAGATCAGAAGCTTGAACGGGGAAACCTTGCTTTGAAGAACAGTCTGCATGAAAAGAATCCTGTTAGAGTGATCCGTGGCTCTGAATCTTCTGATGGAAAAAGTAAGACATACGTCTATGATGGATTATATTTAGTAGCTAAATGTTGGCAGGATGTGGGGTCTCATGGTAAGCTTGTTTTCAAGTTTGAACTGGACAGAATTCGAGATCAACCAGAGCTTCCCTTGAAAGAAGTCAAGAAGTCCAAAAAATCTCGAGTACGGATAGGTCTGAATACCATAGATGATGAGAAACCTCCACCATTTGTATACATAACCAACATGATATATCCTGATTGGTGCCGCCCAATCCCTCCCAAGGGTTGTAGCTGTACTGTTGCATGCTCAGATTCTGAGAAATGTTCTTGTGCAGTTAACAACGGAGGTGAGATCCCATATAACTTTAATGGCGCTATTGTTGAAGTAAAGCCACTAGTGTATGAGTGTGGTCCTTCTTGTAAGTGCCCTCCTTCTTGTTATAATAGAGTTAGCCAGCGTGGTATCAAATTTCCGCTTGAAATCTTTAAAACTGAATCAAGGGGTTGGGGAGTGAGATCCCTAAATTCCATTCCTTCAGGAAGTTTTATATGTGAGTATATAGGAGAGCTCCTTGAAGACAAGGAAGCTGAAGAAAGAACTGGTAATGATGAGTATCTGTTTGATATCGGGAATAACTACAATGACGGTTCTCTTTGGGATGGACTTTCAACCCTCATGCCCGATGCACAGTCAAGTTCTTATGAAGTTGTGGGGGATGGTGGATTTACCATTGATGCAGCACAATATGGCAATGTGGGAAGATTTGTCAACCATAGTTGTTCCCCTAATCTCTATGCCCAAAATGTCCTCTATGATCATGATGATACTAGAATTCCTCACATTATGTTCTTTGCCGCCGAGAACATTCCTCCCTTGCAAGAGTTGACTTATCATTACAATTATATGATAGATCAGGTTCGTGATTCTGATGGCAATATAAAGAAGAAGAGTTGCTATTGTGGTTCTGCAGAGTGTACCGGCAGGCTGTATTGAGTCAGACTTAAGAGGACAATTGTGAGTTACTTACAAGAGGTGGTTTCTTGCTCCCATGTTTTTAGATTCTAGATAGATTCCTGCCTTCTATTTTGTATGCAGCTACTCACACATGCCTGTAAATGTAATTCTGTGTTTGTGTGTGCGCATTTGTGAAGCATGTAGGTCCTGCCCTTCAAACAGAACAAGCAACTGGAGTAATAGTTTAGTTTTTCTTTTTCTTATTTTCTATAGAGTCATTTGTATCATATATTTATTCTTATTATTCCTTTGGTTCTTTGTTTTCAAAATTCTTCTGATTACTATTATTATTATCATTCATCATCATCTCTGATCATCTGAGTGAAAAATATAAATAGAAATAGAATAGATAGAAACCAAGGAAATTTGGTGAAATATTTGTTGCTGACAGTGAAGAAACAAAACATAGATTGATTGTGAAAGTTATAAATCTGTTATATAATAAAGCAGCTTTTATTGTATTGTTAGAGATGGTTGAGATATGGTATATGAACATTTTCCAGAACTCACTGGGCATAATTATTTCTTTAATTACTTTAGTTGTTACCATGCATTCTAATAGAGCATTCTGTGATCCATATGCAGATAAAGTTCTGGTGGGAATATAGTTTGCTTGAAAGGAGGATATTGATAACCTAATTTTGAAGGCCCAAGGTATCTCGACACGGTGACACATATCAGTAGCAAGATTTACATTTTAAACGACTTTGACCTGAAAATCAGGGGTGAGCAATTTTTATTTTGTGTTCTAGTGGTAAATTCTTGATTTGTGTTCTAATGGGTAGTTCTTGATTTGGGTTCCATTGATGAATTCTTGATATAAGTTGTTGGGAGTTTCACTAAAACACCCAAAATGAGAGCTGAAATTATAAAAAAACCCAACACCCAAAACACTTTATAAACACACTCAAAACCCATCATTACACACACTCAAAACCCATTTATAAACACACCCAAAAAATATACAATTGTTGACTTTGGGGTTGATTTTGGGTGTGTTTCTATGTTTAAATAGTGTTTGGGTTTTTTTATAAATACATGTCTAGGATTGGGTTTATTTATAAATTTGTATAAGTTCTAATGGGCAATTTTTAATTTGTGTTCTAGTTGTAAATTCGTGATTTGGGTTCTAATGATGAATTCTTGATACAAGTTCTAATGGGCAATTCTTGATTTGATCAAAATCTGATCCTACACTTTTTTGCACTCCACAGAGTTTGTTTATTCAAATTCTCTAACAAGCTGTGCACATGTAGAGATACTATACACTCATTTAGTCAATAGAAACAGATGAAATATTCCTATAATTATAATGTTCTTAGGAGCATCTACGAATCAAATTCTGGTTTTTTTTTTCCTTGAAATCAATTAGGAGCAGGGACTTTGAACACATACGTCAACAACAAAAAAGAAAAGCAATTGCTGTTATTGGTAGAAAAAGAAATATCCAGCTAATGAGCTATTCATTTGGTTTCTCAATTGTTCTTGTGGTTGTAGTGAAATCACACTAGAATTGTAGTCCCATTTTTTCTGTTTTGTTTTTTTTTCCTTGCATTGCAGGTTTTTTATGGAGTAATCTTGTTCGTTTATGTCAGTCTTGAAGTCGGACCATCTGCTGTACTTTGGATTTAACATCTTTGATGGTGTTTGTTTTGCTGTCATGGAACTTCTCAATCAAGTGATCATGTTTGTAGTACTTTTTGGATTGGATATAAACTTTTATGTTTAGATGATCGTTCTTGGGGCCAGCTTGTGCAATTTATTGAAGTTAATAATCAATTTAAGGACCACCTGCTCTCAAGCAATTCTGTGTGAAAAGGCTATTTGAATACAAGGCCAACCTCTTTTTATCAAAGTCTGTTCCATTTTATATATGACGGTTTATACCATTCAGTTTTATTTTTCATTAATGTTCTCCAAAATGATCATACCATTCACATTGCAGAATTTCTCATTGATAAAAGTTATGGGTACTGCTTTCCGTTCTATATGTTTTTTCTCTATTGAATTGAATATTCATTTTGGCCGTTTTGCTTTGCTTGTTTCTGCACGAAGGAGGTGTGGGCGTGAAAGGAAGTTAGCAATCTTATAATATACACTTTGTGAAACTTAACTTGCTTCCGATTTTAGTGAGCAGGTTGCAGCAACCTGGAATACCTCCAATTTTTTTTTTTTTTTTTTTTTTTTTTTTCCAGTCTGTGCCAAGTCTGATATTCTTCTTCAGGTTCTCATGAAACTAACCCATTGAGAATGATAGGAAAAACTCGACCTCTTCACAACAGTCTAGAAACATTTGAGCAGATAATTACGAACAATTTATTGACACTTGAAAATTGAGTTTCGTTTTACATGTACATGATTAAAAAAAAAACCTACACACTTCCTTGTAGTGGAAGGAACAATATTCTAATTTGACCAAAAAAGAACACACATCTTGTGTTGTTGCAGACACCTTTCTAGCCATGTCCTATGTCATCTGAGTTTCCTGCATTCACACCATGAAATTAAACAACACAAGGCCCGCAACCGATATATTTAAAGAAAGAAAAAAACATAGACTTGTAGAAGCAAACCTCATACTTATCTACAAGCAAGAAGTTGTGAATATGAACCATGAACTTTTTTTCTTGCTCTAACAAGAAATGAAACTAGCACCCCATTATATTTATCTTTACTGAAGAAAAAGAAACAAGTTACTAAACCTAACAAAATTCTTCTAACAAAAAAAATTCATACTGTCCAAGAAAAGACTTCATACTTCCGACGAAACTCATACTAAATTAAGCATAAGACTTCAATTGAAGTCACGGTTGTATACAAAATATGGAAACAAATAATCAGACCAAGCAAAAATACACAGCAAAGGGTACAAACTATTAATCACACATTATTAGAGCCACATCATTAAACTAGAAGCAACAAGGCTAACGGCTCATTTCACAACCTTCCTACACTTCTACATCTCCACAAAGTTTGTAACAACGTTTATTCTAGAATTCTTAATTAATAGAAACAAAAGAAATATTCCTATAATGATAAGATTTTTAGAAGTAGAGACGAATCAAATTTTTATTTTTATTTTTTTCAAATCAATTAGGAGCAGAGACTTACCCATACCTATTTCGCGCAGAAATCTTGCGATGAAGGATCTTCTTCTTCAAAACTTATCACAGAACCCCCAAATCAATAACCCATGGCTTAGATTTTGAAACAACCACGCCTAGGAATACCCATACCTATTTCGCACAGAAATCTCGTGAAGGAGGATCCTCCTCTTCAACTTGGATGTTTGATTATCTTGCTTTGTGTCTCTTGATTTTTCTCTTCAGCTTGGTTTCTGCTCCAAGCGTGCTTGTGTAGGGCGTCTTTTGGTTTCCCAGCGTATGCGGGTTTCTAGCGAGTCATTAGAAAGGAAACAAGTTAAAAGGTTTGAATCAATCTTAGCCACACAAGCTCATTATAACAGATCCAATGGTTGAGTGTCTCATCCCTCAAATAACACTATTTGAGGATCCTTCAATTGAAGATGACTATATATATAAGGTTTTTAACTGTAGAGGTCTCTGAATTTTACCTCGAGTTGCAATTAGGTCCCTGGACCTAAAAAATAATATTTAAGTTGGAATTTGTATTAAAATAATAATTTAATAATAATAATAATAATAATCCAGTCCAAAACCGAAAAAATCAGAAATTGGATCAATTGATTCAAATCAGACTGGCTAGTTTCATAATTTGTTTTCACTAAAATTGGACCGGTTAAATATTACCGATTCCGATTCCAATTCCAATTCCGCTTTATCGACCTAGGCACCCAACTATTCCTTATTATGGTTGGGGCCCTTCACTTGTAGCCATGTTAGCGGCTTTTCACCGTTTAATAAATGCAATTTAAAAAAAAAAAAAAAAGAGAGGCTAAAAGTCACTTTTGGTCCCTATAGTTTGACTTCAACCACTTTTGATCATGTAGTTTTAATTTCGTCAATTTTAACATTGTAGTCTTGTATTTATAGCAATTCAAGGACAAGTTAGTATTCCTGTCAATTTCTTTGAAGGTGCAAGGGGCAATTTCATCAACCCAAAATCCTTGAGCATAAAAGCTCGTCTGAATCTCCCATAATTTCATATTAGGGCTTGAAATTAGTCATTTGGGTTTAGGGTTCTTAAAAAATTGGGATTAGTAATTGAATTTCGAGCCCTAATATAAAATGGAGAGAATTTCAGACAAGCTTCTACGCTCAAAGAAAGAGTTGACGAAATTGGCCATTGCATCGTTAAAGAAATTGACAAGAATACTAACGCGTCATTGAATTGCTACAAATACGAAATTACAATGACAAAATTGACGGAATTGAAACTACATGGTCAAAAATAGTTGAAATGCCAAATTACAGGGATCAAAAGTGACTTTTGGCAACAAAAAAAGAAAAAAGAAAAAAAAGGAAGGGAATCACACATCCAAATTGGGAATTCATTATGATAAAATAAAAATAAGGTTTTTTAGGTTTTAGACATTAAAAAAATTTCACTTTTGGAAAAAGCCAAAGTTTTTTCAAAAAAGACAAAAAAACCACTCAACTTTCAAATCAAAGACATACAAATGTATTGGATTCCTTAAGAAATCTAAAAATAAATAAGGGCATTTTTGTCCATTTTTGCTTCTTTTAAAATTTTTCTCTCTCCTTTTGCTTTTTCCAAAATATCCCATAAAAATACCAGTTTGTCCCCAAAAAAAAAAAACACCCCTAATTGAAATGCTAAGAGATTCAATTTAAATATTACTAATTAGTCAATTTTATGGTTCACTCAATAAAAGCAGAGAAGCCGGTGAATATTTTGCCTAGTTTTGTAACCACTTTTGCAGTTATTAATTATTTAGTTTGTTAATAAGAATATTAATTGTCTGTGCATTAAAATTGACAATACGAGTTTGAAAACATTGGACTTCGAAGGTATGTGCAATCAAATTTTTGACGTTAACTTTGTAATTTACATAAAGAAATTTTTTTGAGGTTAACTACGTTCATAGACTGAGATAGAGAGTGATATAAAGACAGAGAAAGAGAGAAAAGAAAGAGAGAGAGAGGGAGGTTCACAGAGAGACAGCCAAACCCTAGCCTCGACATAAATGACCTCTACCTTTCGCTCTCGCCCAGCCCCCAACTCCCTCCAAACCCGACACCCATTCCCACCCCAACCATAGATCCAGCCCCACCCCTTTGCCCCAGAAAATACAAAACCCAGCCCCACCCCAGCACTAGCCAACCTCCCTCTCTCCAGATCCGACGAGCCCCACACTAGATTCGTCATCTTCGTCTGCGTTGCAAGGCCACACCACCCTCTTCGTCAAGGCCACGCCATCGTCTTCGTCATCAAGTTCTTCGCCTGCCATCCCCACCAAGTCTAGAGAGAGAGATGGAGAGAGAGAGAGAGAGAGGTGAATCTATGAGGATTGTCTTCCTAAGCTTTGCTATGTTTGGTTCTTTGATTCTCTTGCGGGTTTTCTCTATTGTGTCTACAATTCCCAAACTCAGAAATGCAAAATCAACTGCCTCTGAGCGGTGGGAATTTTTTTTTAAAATTTATTTATCAATTTTAAGATTTTACCTTTTCTATTTGTCTTAAATATTTATTTTTAAACTGAATGAATTAAATTTTAAAAAATTAGTAATACACGTGTCAGCGTATGATTAGTCATTTTAAAAATTTTATGCTCCTTGCCACACTGGATCCGGCGAAACGGCTTCATTTTTTTCCTCTCTCTCTCACGCTCTCTCTCACTCTCAACTCAATCTCCTCTCCCCAAACCAGATCTGCGGCCAAGTTCTTCGCTCGATCTCGCTCTCTCAGCCACTACCGCTCTCCCTCAGTCGCTCTATCGCTCGATCTCGCTCTCTCAGCCACTCCCGCCTCAGTCGCTGTATCGCTCTCTCTCAGTCGCTCGATCTCGCTCTCTCAGTCACTCCTGCTCTCTCTCAGTGGCTCCCTCTCTCGATTCTTCTGTCTCTAGATGTATAATATATAAGAGAGCTCGTTGGGCTAACAATGTGACACTAAGAAAGTGCTTACATGATACTATTGGTCGAATGAAAAGGGCAGTTGAAAAGGGAAACGCTATTGCTTCTGCTGTTGGAGGTATTGAAAAACAATTGGGCACATCTTTTCTTCTAAATTTTTATCATATGCTTTTGATATTTTGGCAGCTTTTAGGAATAACTTCTTCTGTAGACTTAATTTAACCAAAAGATTGACAATTTGCTTTCTATTTGAGATGCAGCTTCCAATGATTTTGTTGAGACACTTCTGGAGCAGCTGTTTAGGCCATCCTTGTCTACAATTATTCTGGAAAATTCAAAGTGTGTAATATGTTTATGTTTTTTAATATTTAATATGGCTAGATATCTCAAAGCTTTTTTGAAGTTTTGAAGTTTTCATATGTTTCCCCATCAGATACTGTTTTGATGACAACAAAGAAGATGGAGGAGATGGTAGTAGGCTATGCAGTTGTTATAGTTGATAACAAGTTGTGTGGAATTCTTACGTGAGTTTTTTGTCTTCTCTTTCTTTACATAAAGAAATTGCACTACCTTTCTCCCAATATCACTATATCATTTTACATATAAAATGAATTGTGATTTTCTCATTCGACTCTTGTCAGTTCTAAAGATATCTTGATGCGGGTAATAGCACAAAATCTAAATATCTTTTTGAATTTGGGAAAAATTTAAATCAATATATGTCCTTGTTTATTTGGCCAGAAGTTGTTACTTCGCCTAATTTTAATATTCTTATGAAACTGAATTGATTAATAGGTCATGACTTCAAATCTAGAATGTGCCACAATTGATACACCAGTTTGTGATGTATTGATTAAAATGCATGAAAGAAAATGTTCACACCTTCCTGTAGTATATGAAGATAAGATGATGATATGGTAAGAGTAGTTTAGTTTAGTTTAGTTTTGTTTGTATGGTTTAAATGAGATTTTTAGTTTCTGATGTGTATGGATGATGATGATGTTGGTTTACAGGTGGAAATATGGTTGCTGTTGTTGATGTAGTTGATATTACTCATGCTGTTGTGGCTTATGTAAGTCTCTACCTACTTTTAAATCATTACAGTTAATTTTTTATTTTCCTGCTTGGTCAAAGAACAAACTGTTAACATTATTTTGTTTGTTCACAAGGTCAAAATGACTGATGGATAGCTCTATGATTCAATTGTTTTGGCATTTTGCCTTGGTGAATAAAGATGAGGGTTTTCAAAGGTTGTATATTTATTTATATGCGTATCTTCTCTATTTCAACATGATGTTTGACGTAATTTTTTTTTTACATCTTTATACGTATTTACACAACCTAGTTGTCATCTCAGTGTTGCTTTTGGAGGAGAAAAGATGAGGTCACCTTTCTTTTCGTCGTCAAATTTATCTATCACATTTGCTTTCAAAGTTGAAGATAAGATGAGTTTGATGCATAGATTTACTTTCTGTAAGTTTCTTGTCACAGTTACTTATAATTTTACGTGTGTATATATTTGTGTGTGTTTGTTGTAGCTTTGAAATAAACACTCTTTTTTCAAAAAGAACAGTTTGGCTAAAATTATTGCTTGACTGAGTGTTTTTTGTTTTGTCTTTGTTTTTAGATGTTCAGAGTCTGACATACCTTATGACCGCAATCATTCAGAGAATGGGTGGTGACATTGACCGCAACAACCTTCCCCAAAAATTGGTATTTTTTTAAATAGATTACATGTTTTTTAAAAGGTTTTTGAATTTGGCTTTAGAGTTTTCTCAACCTAATCGTATTTTAAATGGTGGAAAATTGTGTAGTATGAAGATGATGATCGTGATAAGGTTATACTAGCATCAGATGAAGGCCTTGTAATAGCTGCGGACCTAGCAAAGCATCTTAGTTGGAAGGTATTTGTGCAAGCATACATTTAACATATATTAACCAAGGACATTAATCCAACTGCTAACTAAAACAAAATGGGCATATCCTAAAGCACAACTTCAATATTACAAAATGAAATCAACCAATCCAAAACAAACAAGAGATTCAGCCTGTCACACCAAGAACTTCAAAATGTGTATTCATATTCTGGTAAGCAAATTGTTACAAATTACCAAAGTGACAAAATGAATTGGCATAGACAGTGTCTCTTAGACCTAGAGTTGGCTAAAATTGTAATTAGGACAAGTTTGTAAACCCTAATTACAAGCAAAACCCAAATTTGGGTATTAGCAAAACGAACCCAGGTCTGGAATCCATAAATTTGTGAAATCAAATGTAGAACCTATTAACTTTGTAGTGCTTGAGATTGTATTTGGATTATCCAATATTAAGGCTAGCTTTAGAGATGGAAGAAGAATTTATGAAATGTATTACAAAGGAGTATGAAAATATTAGTTCACGCGATCTTATAGTTGCTCGCAAGATTTGGAAGTTTATCTTGACTCCAAATTATTCCATTGAGGAATTTAGTTATGATGGTAAATCTCTATTTAGAGAAAATGGTTCACATAGGGATGTCAATGTGTTTTCTGTAGGCATGTTAGAGGAGTATGCAGAGCACATGTTTAGTCTGACACGTCATGTGAAAGGTGGAGACATTTTATGCCCTTTTTCTTTTTGTTTTTTAAAACAAGACTTCAACGAGAATGATGTGCCTCTCTGTAGCAGAGAGGCTTTGTTGAAGAAAGAGTTTTGGGGTCTATGTTATGAGAAATATGATATGTCATTGTCAGATTGGTGTGGAAAGTAATAAAATCAAAAGCAGCAAAGATAAGAACGTGATTGCGAGTGATGAAAATGGATGCTAATTCGATGTCTAGCGTCGAAAAATTCAATGAGTAGTATTATTTTTTTTTATCCAAGTTTATTTTCATTGTTAAGTGTAATACTTTTTGTTTTATGACTAATTTTTTTATTTGATAGTATAATGTTGGGAACAATTTCTAGGATTCATTTTGCAAAGTCATATTAGGGTGAATTAGGTGAGAGAAGTTCTTATGTATTTCTTGATGGACAATTGTTGTTAATCAAGGTTGAGAAGACGTTGAAAGTTGTTAATTTGTCTAGCCGGAGTTCCATATTGAAGGATGATTACAAGAATTTTAGAAACTTATTGAAGGATTTGCTTGGACCCGATAAGTTTTGGGATGAACGTGATAAATTAATCCATTGTTTTGATGATTTCAACCATTAAGAGTGAGTATTTGTTTCCCTGAATTGTATTGATTGTGAATTGTGTTGTTAGCAAGTTGGTATATTTGTTTTATGTGTAGTTGTTCTTCCTATTTGGATACACTTCTTAATCATCCGTTTTTAAGGACTGCCAAGGAAAGGATGACTGAATTTAGCAAGTTGCTTAAGGACTTGTATTATGGTGGTCTTATGAACACAATGTTGAGACATTCTGATTTTAGTCAGTTCTTAAGTTGGAACAAAGTTATTGGGAAGAAAGTTTTGTTGAATGTGTATGAATATCGTGATTCTAATCAAAAGAAGATATATTATACTGGTTCTTCGGTGTAATCGTTGAGGTTCGTTAGAAATCCTCAAATTTGGGTATGGATCGACGGGTATGGATATCTAGAACCAGTATAATTTATCTTCTTTTGATTGGAATCACGATACTCATACACATGCAACAAAACTTGCTCCCCTGTAGCTTTGTTCCAACTCAAGAACTGACTAAAATCAGAATGTCCCAACATGGTGTTCATAAGACCACCAGAATAGAAGTCTTTGAGCAGCTTGCTAAATTCATCCATCCTTTCCTTGGCAGTCATTAAAAACGGATGATTAAGAAGTGCATCCAAATAGGAAGAATAACTGCACATAAAACAAATATACCAAGTTACTAACAACACAATTCACGATCAATACAATTCATGGAAACAAATACTCACTCTTAGTGGTTGAGATCATCAAAACAATGGATTAACTTATCACTTTCATCCCAAAACTTATCGGGTCCAAGCAAATCCTTCAATAAGTTTCTAAAATTCTTGTAATTATCCTTCAATATGGAACTCTGGCTAGACGAATTAACAGCTTCCAACGTCTTCTCAATCTTGATTAACAACAGTTGTCCATCAAGAAATACATAAAAACTTCTCTCACCCAATTCACCCTGATATGACTTTGCAAAATGAATCCTAGAAATTGTTCCCAACATTATACTGTCAAATAAAAAAATTAGTCATAAAACAAAAAGTATTACACTTAACAATGAAAATAAACTTACATAAAAAAAATAATACTACTCATTGAATTTTTCGACGCTAGACATCGAATTAGCATCCATTTTCATCTCTCGCAATCACGTTCTTATCTTTGTTGCTTTTGATTTTATTACTTTCCACATCAATCTGACAATGACATATCATATTTCTCGTAACATAGACCCCAAAACTCTTTCTTCAACAAAGCCTCTCTGCTACAGAGAGGCACATCATTCTTGTTGAAGTCTTGTTTGAAAAAACAAAAAGGGTATAAAATATCTCCACCTTTCACACGACGTGTCAAATTAAACACGTGCTTTGCATACTCCTCTGATATGCCTATAGAAATCACATTGACATCCCTATGTGAACCATGTTCTCTAAGTAGAGATTTACCATCATAACTAAATTCCTCGATGGAATAATCTGAAGTCAAGGTAAACTTCAAAATCTTGCAAGCAACTATAAGATCACGTGAACTAATATTTTCATACTCCTTTGTAATACATTTCATAAATTCTTCTTCCATATCTAAAGCTGCCCTTAATAGGTTCTAGGTTAGATTTCACAAATTTATGGATTTCAGACCTGGATTCGTTTTGTTAATACCCAAATTTGGGTTTTGCTTGTAATTTGGGTTTACAAACTTGCCGTAATTACAATTTTAGCCAACTCTAGGGTTGGGAGGCACTGTCTATGCCAATTAATTTTGTTACTTTGGTAATTTGTTACAGTTTGCTTACTTGGAATATGAATATGCATTTTGAAGTTCTTGGTGGGCTGAATCTCTTGTTTGTTTTGGATTGGTTGATTTTATTTTGTAATGCTGAAGTTGTGCTTTAGGATATGCCCATTTTGTTTTAGTTAGTAGTTGAATTAATGTACTTTGTTATGAGTGCTATTGTTTCCATCTATTTCCCTGTTCACCATGTAAATTTGAAAAAACCCAATCCTATTTTTACACCCACTATTATTTTCAAAATAACATTTAATTATTAATTCAACCAAAAAAAATTAATAAGAAAATAACATAAAAAATTATCTCTCCTCTCCCCACCCCAACCCATGAAGACCTCAACCCTAGCCACCATTCTCTTGCAAGCTGTGGCAACCCAGCTACCATTCCCTCCCCCACCTCATCGTCTCCCTCCATAATTCCCTCTCTTTACACGCATAAGATTACTATTCTCCTTGCAACCTAGAGCCTCCATTGTCTTCGTGAGCTTCAATTCTTCTATATATATCAAATTGTGGGCAATTTTTTCTTCCTTAAGGAAAAGAGAAAAATGAAATTTTCTTTCTTTTATTACTTGTTATATTCATGTGTGCCCTGACTTGAGCAAAGTTGAAGCTTTCATGGTGGCTACATCATTGTTGAACCAAAATTGAATCCCTAGTTTATTCAGCTAAATTCACTCAAGCACTTATCAATACAATTCAAATCAAAATTTCCTTGCAATGAGTCATATATTCATTGCAATTCCTTGAACTACGAGTGGCTTGATTCTCGTAAGGGATACGTAGGCACCCTGAGGTTCGACTTAGGGGCAGCTGCAAAACCAAACACACACGTTTTGTTTTTTTATGATGGAATCAAAGGGTGTTCCCTTGAAGCAAGGGATTATAATTAAGAGAAACCGTGTCTCAAATGGGTTGATGCTAAAATAATAAAATTGTATTATTTAATTAGTGGTGTTGAAATTATGTTGGGAGGTTCACATTTTTCTTCAACAATCATCTTAAGATTTCCTTCAAGATTTGCTTAGGGGTGGCTGTAGAGATTCCAAGGATGGGTTGAGGGTGGGTCGGGAAGGGGAGACAAGGGGCGAGAGAATTTATTTTTAATAAAGAAAATCTTATTTTATTATTTAATTTTACTTTAAAGAGAGTTTGGAGTTTTTTAATATTTTATTTAAGTCATTAGAAGTGATTTTACAAAGGGATAAATTTATCTTTAAAATTTTGATTATAAGGTGGGTGAAAAAATATGACAAGTTGGTGAAAATAGCAGCACTCTTTGTTATACTTCGTAGAATGTGGATCAACAATTCAGTGCTGTTAATGAACTGAGATAAGCTTAGTAATGCGATGAAATTATGCTTGGTTGGTTGAGTGTTGGAATAAACATGTAACTTGAAGTAAAGACTATAGTATTAGAGGAGGAAGTGTATATTTTTCTTTACGTATATTAGAGAAGATATTTACAGAAGATGCTAGAATTGCATTTATGTAAAAAGTATCATGTTTATACTCAGAAACAGAAGACTCATTAAGTATACAACACAAAATTGAACTAGTAACCTACTTATTACCCCAATACATTGGTTAGTGTGAACAAGATTTGGCTACTATTCCTCTCTGTACAAGCACTTATATTTCAGCTTACTCAGAAATTGAATAATGAACAGTTAAATTCTTCAAATACCATTAAATTTTTGATAAAATCTATCAAAAAAACAGAACACTAAAAAGGGAAAGCAATGGATATAGAGTTAGAGAGTAAGAGTAAAAGGATTATAGGATTGTAGATTATACGTTATAATAGGCATACTAACAAGGGTAATAGCAGAAATTAATCATTGTCCAAAGAGATTAGCAATATTTACCCATCAGCAGTGCTTCTAAGATCCCAGCCAGACAAAGTTGCAGCTTCAGTAGGAGCAGATCTCCACCTCTGTACCTTTATCCGTATCTAACAGGAAGCGGTCCTCGTGTTTCACGAATGCTTCTCCAAACCAACCAGTCTGTTTCCTTACATCTGAAGGATCAACATCATAGAATATTGGAAAAACCATTTGCCTAAGTGTTCTTTTACACTCCATGATCTTCACAAGCTCCTCAAGACATCAACTGGAAGCTGCATATCTCCTTGAGAAGACGATGACAGAGATACTAGACCCTAGGTTTGCCTGGACCAGT